ATTGAAATCATTTACTTCTTCTTTTTCTGTCTAGGTGACTTCTTCTTCCTTTTCTTGCCTAATTGCTTTGGCTACAACGTCCAGTACAATACTGAATGGAAATGATGAAAGCAGATGTCCTGTAATTTCCTGATCTTAGAGAGAAAATTTTCAGTCTTTCACCTATAAGTATGATGTTAGTTGTGGGTTTTTCACAGATGCCTTTTAATAGGTTGAGGAAATTTCTTTCTATTCCTAGTATGTTGAGTCATTTTATCATGAAGTCATGTTAGATTTTGCCAAATGACTTTTCTGCATCTATTGAGGTGATTGTGTAGTTTCTGCCTTTGTTCTATTAATATGATGTATTACACTGATTGATGCTTAAACCAATCTTGCATTCCTCAGGCAAATCCTACTTTGTAATGGTGTATAATCCTTTTTCATATGCTATTGTATTCAATTACCCAATATTTTGTTTGAAAATTTTCACATCTGTATTTATAAGGAATATTGATCTGTAGTTTTATTTTATGATGTATTTTTCAGGATTTAGTATCAGGGTAATATTGGTCTTATAGGATAATGAGGAAAGTGTTCCTTCCTCTTCTATTTTCTGGAAGAGTTTGTGAAGATTTTCTACCAATTCTTCTTTAAATATCTGGTAAAATTAATCAGTGAAGCCATCCTGTATTGGACTTTTTGTGGGAATCTTTTGATTGCTAATTCATTCTCTTTACTAGTAATAATTCTATTTGTGTTTTTATTTTTTCTTCAGTCAGTTTCAGTAGTTTGTTTATTTATAGGTGTTGTGGACACCTGCATAAACAGGATGGACCCCCACCCAAAATTTGGTTTGGATGTCAAGACTGATGATGACATGCACACCCCAAGAGAGTATGGAAATATTTATTACTCACATAATGAGAATTTTGTGGAGAGCAGGCCACATCTCCCAATCTGATTTGAGAATGACTTGAGAGACCAGGGAAAGGAGACTGGCTTGGGGGCTTTATGATGGTTAGAGATTATGGTGTGGATAAGGATTCCTACATGCAGACAGAGCCTTGCATGGTTTGATCACCCTGTGAGTGCCACATGAGGTAGAACCTTTGCTCTCTTATGAATTTTTCCAAATGTAAGACAGAAAAGAAGAGGGAGGGGTGAGGCTTAAAATATATCAGTCATCAAACATCAAAAAATGGAACATATTCTTTGTTACAATAGGAATTTCATCTAAGTTATCTAATGTGTTTCCATATACGTGTTCATAGTATTCCCTTATAATCCTTTTTATTTCTATAATGTCACTAGTGATGTCTGCTCTTCATTTCTAATTTTAATAGAGTCTCTCTCGCTCTCTCTGATTTTTTGTCAATTTTTTCTGCTGGTTAAATCTTCTGTTAAGCTTTGCTAGTGAATTTTTAATTTCAGTCATTATAGTTTTCAGCTTCATATTTTTTAAAAATAATTCCTATCTATTGGTATTTATGATTTGGTGAAATATCATTATCCTATTTTTCTTTAGTTCTTTAGAAATAGTCCTGTTAGTTCTTAAACATATTTAAACAGTTGATTTAAAGTCTTTGTCTTATAAATCCAATGTCTGGGCTTACTTGGCTATGATTTCTTTGTTTCCTTTTTTTCCTGTATATGGATCATACTTTCTTGTTTCTTTGCATGTCTCATATTTTTTTGTCAAAAACTGGGCATTTAAATAATATTATATAGAAACTCTTGAAATCAGTCTCTCTCTCCCTTCCCCAGGATTTGCTGTTGTTGTTGTTTGCTGCTTTTTTCTTTCTTTGTTTAGTGACTTTTCTGAACTAATTCTGTAAATTCTGTATTTTTTGTTGTATGTAGACACTAAAGTCTCTGTGTAATAGCTTAGTGGTCATCTAATAGTTGTAGAGTGATTTCTTCAAAAGCTTGGAGCCAATAATTCTACCAATTTTTGCTGAAGGGCTCTCTGTGAATATTGAGACACACTCAACACTTAGCCACACAATTGACAACTCTGCCTTATCCTTCACTTCCTGCTTGTGCAGAGTCTCAAGATCAGCCTGAAATGAGAGCTTAGGGCTTTCTCAGGTCTTTCCTGAGCATGTGTACAGTCCTGGGCATGCACAGAACCTGGGCACGCATTTGGCCTTCTAGATTCCCAGTAACATGTTGGAACTTCTCAAAGTTCCTATGAAAATCTCATTTCTCAGCCTTTCCTTTTAAGACTTTTGTTTAGCCTATTGCCTTCCCCAACTGTCATACATTGCCTCAGGCAGACATAAAGATAATCAATTGCCTCTAATTGTTTCAACAAGGTTTTTCACACCGGAAATCTTCCAGGAAGGTCAGATAAAGATAACCTTGCAAGTGGGGCCTCCAGGGCTTGTTACGTCAAATAATGACAATTCTCCAGGAATGGGGCTTTGAAAGAACTCCAACTCCATTCTGCCCTCCTCCCGTGGCTGCCAGACTGCTGGTTTTCCGCATAATCATAGTCTGTTGGTTTTTAAGGCTACCGTGGAACAAAAGAGGGGAGATGAGAATGGGCCAAATTATAATATCACAAGGCTCGCTGTTCTTACAGAGATTTAGTCTTTTTCTTGAATAAATGGTCTCTCAAATTGCCTTAAGTCTTCAGTTAATTTCCAGAGTTAAAAGAAGTCGAATCTATTTTTGTCAGGTTCTCATTGGTTTTATGGAGGAATCTTCAGAGGTCCGTCCTTAGTTAGCATTTTTCCATCCTTAGTTAGCATTTTGCTGACACTCCCCACATACCTTTTTATTTTTTTAAGTCTGGAATATCCTTCTGAATCAAGTCCCACTCACCTTTCAAGCCTCGTTCAGATGTTACCTCCTGGTTATGGCTTTTCTGAGACCACTGTCTCCTTGGTACTTGCTTCCATTTTCCCCACTCCAAGTCCAAGGAGGCCGTAACAAAGAAGGAGGTGGCAGAGTGGATTTGACTGAATGCTTCAGAGCTTGGGTTCTCAATGATGCCAACCATGACCTCGGGATAGCCTTAATCATTAGAGATGAATAATCAATAGTTAGATCTATTTTTATTTTTGTTGTTTTTCTTTTTCTTTTTTAAATTTCCGAATATTATGGGGCTACAAATGTTTTGGTTACATAAATTGCTCTTGTATAGTTTGAGTCAAAGTTATTGTACCTGTTAGGTGTGAATTTGCCCATTCCCTCCATTCCCCTGCTACCTACTTGATTTCTGATGAGTGTTATTTCCACATGTGCATGTAAATGTTGATCGATTAGTTCCAATCTAATGGTGAGTAGATGTGGTGTTTGTTTTTCCATTCTTGTGATACTTCACTTAGAAGAATGGTCTCCAGTTCCATCCAGGTTAATACAAGAGGCATTAGTTATGCTGTGTTCTGTTCTTAAAAGAACCAACCAATAAAAGCTGCTCGCAATTTTGCACAGTGTTTAAGGGCCTAGGTGCTACAGTGAGACCGTATGAGTTCACTGCTTCCTAGCAGTGATAATGGTATCTACTTCACTGAGATATATAGTGAGGATTAAGAGAGAAACAATTCAAATAAAATCCTTAGCACACTGTCTGGCATCAGCACACCATATATAGTCGCCAGGTTTTTTATTACTGTTAAGAGAACCAATACCTAACAGAAATCTTGTATCGTTTGTCCGAGTGGAAAGGGACCTCAGAAATCCACTAGTTCAATTGCATACCCAGGGCAATGACTTACTTTACCTCACATCCTTATCAAATGATATCCAGCCTATGTTTTAGTGTTTCCACGGACGGGAGTTCATTATCTCAAAGGCAGCTCATGGTATTGCTGAATCACTTATCATTATGAAGCTTTTCCTTCTACTGAGCCCCAAATCTTTCTCACGTTTTTTCCCTGGAACACCCCGAAATAAATTTATTATTTCTGTGTGATGGCCCTTCCACTATCTGAAGGCCTCCCTCACAACACTCTCAAGCCCTTCTTTCCAGCCATGCGTACTTGCAATAGCGGACCTGCTTTCCCTTGCCTGTATCTGCCATGGCCTGAGGTGTCCTGAAATCCTGCGGAATCTGAAAGGTCTGGGTGGAACGAATAAATTCCCTTTAACATCACAAGAGATCCAATTATCTCTTTTCTACCTCCCTTCCCATGACAAGTGAATCCCTGTCCACCTCTGCCTGGGAACACTATCAGTTAAAACACGAACACACACACACACAAAGAGAAGAGGTTTAATTTATTGGTTGTTCTTTGGCAAAGGCTATATAGAACATTATTAGGGTGAAAATTAAACTCTAGTTACAGATTCATGAAACTTTAAGCCAAATTAGCTTTTATGAGACTATCAAATTCCCTCTTATTCTCACTCACAGCAAGGTACCTCGATCATGGTCTATATAATCCTTTGTTGGTTCTAAATGATTAAAGCAGACATAATACATAATGCAGTTGATATTAAATATCTTGAGAAATGACAAATCAATAGAACTACTTTCACTCTTAGGCATTCACTGGTCACTTATAAATGTTCTGTACATACACTTTTCATTTTAGATTTTTACCTTAAAAGGATTTTATTTTTGAACTATTCACCATTATCTGCTATTTGTTTGTATACACACATCATAAGTCTTCCAAAATAACATTTAAAGTCTTTCTTAATATTGCTTCACAAATGTTAACCTTTAAGGAACATTCAGCTAAAAAAATAATAAAAGTTCAGGTCTTGACTCTGTAATGCATGTTCAGATGTGTCAAGATTTTGTTTCCCCCGACCTGATAAAAGTTTCCAACATCATACAACGTGCCAGCTTCTTTGCTCAACTCGGAGGAAGTCAAATAAATGAGAAAAAGAAAACATGCTTGCAATCACAGTGACCAAAGGATTTGAATTAATAATTACATTAAATAACCATAACTTTTTGTTTAACTATTCACATTCCACACAGTGGAAATTATCCTTTCCTCCAGATTTTTTGCTCATACTTCTAACTTTGAAGAACTACAGTAACAAAAAACAAAGACTTACAAGATGTGTGTTTTTCTCTTCTAATGCCAAGCACAAAGTGTACATCATAAAATTCATATTGGGTCTTTGGCATTATTTTCATAGATATGATCAAGATCACAAATATCTTGTCATAAAAAAATTCTACTATAATAACGAAAAAATATCACTATATCATCAGTGACTCCAATAAAATATGTAACAGATATGGCATTTTCAATAAATGTTGAAAGACACACCATACTTGTGCTCATCTTAATATAGGCACAATAAGAAAAGCAGACGTTTCCCTCTTTGGCTAGTGATGTGCTTCCAGGGTAGTTATGCTCCTGATTATCTCGGTGAAGTTAATTTTGAGGAAATTCTCTTTACTTGAGCCAAATCCGACTTACATGCAAGACTGTGGTATAAGCTCCTAAAAGAAGATTACTGCTGCCAACTTAAGTCATCTCTTTTTAACAAAATTGCATGCTTGTGGCAGAGTTAAAACAACAAGAGAAATTCAGTGTTTGCTGGTTCTGAATGTCATTTTTCCTCTCTGGTGTGGTTTTACATTTTCAGCTTCTTCCCCTTTCTTTTCCTCTCTCCCTCCCTCAAAATTCTGCCTTAGCATTTCTGTGCTTAATTAAATCCATTCTATGCTTTATTGTTGGAGGATGTGGATGATACAAAGATTTAGGGCAGGGGCATACAGTGTATACAAAACACACAGACTATGTGTTTGCACAAATTCGCCTCTTGGAGAATCATCAGTAGTGAGTTTCAAAGTTTTAAAATTAGACCCAACATTTTGGATGTTCAAGAAAACTTCTGCCTTAAAACAGTGCCTGTTTAGTTGTTAGATGGGAGTGCACTGGAAAAGCAAAAACAAAATAAAAACCGCTTCTTTAGTTGCAATGGCTCTTTGAATACTGGAGTCTTGACGGGCAACTGAATCCCAAGTGCATGGTGTTTGTTTTCCATATTACATGTGACTCGGACAGTGAGGTGGAGAAGATCCAAGGTAAAAAGACTATCTGGGGCGCCTGAGGAGAACAGGTTAGCCAAATTCAAAGCGCAGTAGGTTCACCCATTCTGCACTTCGGTCTTTCGATAAATCCTCAGTAGGCCTTGTGAACAGGCCAAGCTTAATCAGATGACAGCACCTACCAGTAGGCAGTGAATGGTTACAATGTTACATGGATGCCACCAGCAGTAGACAAACAGCTGGGGAACCCCATGCTCTGCTCTCTCAACAGGATTTCCCCTCAGACCTTCAGAGGACAAATGAAGAAGGAGAGGTTAGCGCCCTTACATCCCTTCCAGGTATTAAGAGCTAACTACTCCTTAGCCAGAGGCAATCTCCTTTCTTACCTTACTCTCCTCTCTAGCTCAATAGCATAACAATGGCTAAAACGAAAAGACCCAAAATATATCTCTAGCTAAAATGGAGCGCGCCCTAAGCTCTTTCATCTTAGACGTTGTTAGTTACACTCAGCAGAGGCAGAATCTTTGCCATACAGGTTTGTGGCTCTCATATGGCATAATGCTCAGAAGCATTATGCAGAAATCATGAAGTAGGAAAGAAGCTGATTATAACCAAGAAAAATGGAAGTTATTAGGACCTTTGGCCTATGAGGTTTTTGTTTATTCCCTGTGGAAAGGGTTCTGAACTACATCTATTGTCCACGTGAGGGACAAAGCAGAAAGGCTGGTTGGTTTAGCTCACTCACTTGGTTCTGAAAATGGGAGGGGCCAATATTTACGTGTGAAGTTTGGTGTTGGGTTATCGTTTCAGCAGATCACACTGACTCTTAGGCAATCTCATTTCTCCTCTGTTCACCTGGGTCCTGTTAAATAGTAGGAAAAAATGTTCATGAAGCATGGGTCTCCCTGTGCTCCGGAACTGGCCTTTCAAGCCTCTGCACATCTCCCTACTGACTTCTGCTGGGCGGGACTCAGCCGCACCATCCACCCTCCCTTTCTCACTCACTATCTTGCTTGTCCTTGCACGCACCAGCCTCCCCTGGAGTCCGGAGGGTCTTCACAATATGAAAAACATTTACGCCCAAGGTGAAGCGAATTAATGTAGAAATTTTGGCAGACGTGGGATTAGACTGACATGGTCACTGAAGAAGGGACAGACTGTGGCAGGGAAGAGGAGGAAGCAGGCACAGGTTGCAAGAACTTTCCCAAGTCTAATGCAGCACTACAACAGGTAGCCTCTTCCATTAACATTCATACCAAAGGGAGATTCTGGTCCCCAAGAGGGCACGGGGATGAGAAAGGCAGAACCAGACCACGCCCCACCTCTTTGGATGTGAGTCAGGGTTGGGTGGGCTTCTGGACCACCCTGTTAAAGCAGATATGTTTACATAATAGGAAGAGACTGTGTTTCCTCTGGTGTCTGAAAACACGCACAGGCACCCATGCACACAAACTACGCACAAGCAGGCTCCTGCCAGGAGGCAGCTGGTGGTTCTTCCAGCCTCTGGGTTTAAGCCAAGAAAGAATGGGGTTGTTTTAGGTCTGGCTCTGGGCCCGCCTGGGGCTGCATCCCTAGGACAGGCTGGGTGCACCTAGATTTGGCTCAATCCAAATCGATGGATATGCAACGACACTGCTTCACGCGTGTGACCCTCTTCTTCTTGGTAGGCGGCTGCAGTTCGGGGCAGTTGAGTGTGACCATCATGGTGGTGAATTTCTTGGGCTTACAGAAGGAGCAGGATTGAAAGGAGCCCTCCTCCTTCCGGATGTGCCTGGGGATGTAGAAGGAGTTGCACTGGCCGTAGCAGAAGCGGTTGATGATGGTGCGGCTGTTGCAGCCCTCCTCGTGGATGGTCTGCTTAAGCGGCTGGGTTTTGCACCAGTCTCGCTTCAGGTATTTGCGCTCGGTCACGTGCAGGGCCTCTTGGCTGGACTCCAGCACCTCCTCCCCCGGCACGGCAGAGCCCCGCCCTTGGCCCCGCCCCCGGTTCCTGGAGCCGGGCTGCTGCGGCGACTGAGTCTGCTCCGAGTCATTGTGCTGGGCCTTGTCCGGCGGGGGGATGGCGCCTTGGGACCCTTTCTTTTTCCCTTCGGCAGCTGGTGGCAGGGTCCCCAAGAGGAGAAGCAGGGCTCCCACAGTGTAGGCGGTGCGGCTCATACTATAGGGGGGAAGCACAGAGAGGGAGAGACACGAAAAGTGGAAAAGTTAATTAATTAAAAAATTAAAAGTAGCACCTAACATTTTAGGCGGCACTTTTTAAGCACTTTATGTGAACTATGTCATTACTTCTCACCGTATCCCTATGAGTTAGGTACTATTATTCCCATTACCCTCCCAGCCATCAGTTCGTGAGTAACTTGCCCAGGGTCACACAGTGAAGAAGCCAAGATCTGAATTCAGCCAGGGCCTCTCTCTTCATCGCATGGACCCCCACAGAATTTCTTCTTGGCTTCTTACACCACTTCTTCTTGGCTACATGTGACTTTGTATTATGTCACTATAGTCATTCTTGTATTGATGACAATATTTAGTAAGCCCGTACTGTGATAATGCCATGCTACCTTTGCACCTCTTAGGGGAACTTATTTCCTCTTTTGTTTTACGGCAAGATGAATTAGCCTCCCTGCCCAGAGGGCCTCCCAGTCTTTTCTTCCCAACCAGGCTGAGGCTTCCTGAGTTGTGAATGCTTATGAGACTTTGCCTTATTATCAGGTGAGGAAGGAGGGACTCCCGGAGACCAGAAAGCATGTGACAGAGGGAAGACAACAGACAGGAAAAGCGCGGGATGAAAAGTCAAGACTGAGTTTCTAGTCACGGTCCTGGGGCAACGACTTGCTGTCCGACCTTGATGAAGTCACTTTACTTTTCAATAAATGACTGCATTTAAGCGAAGATACAAAAACCTTCTCTTCCCAGGTAGGCTGTTCAGATGAAATTTGATGTCAGCGTGAAGGCAATTTGAGAACTAACCGAATGTTCGGCGGAATCGCAGACAGAACGAATGACTGTACCGGGCAGATCAAATGACTCAGAAGACTCCTCCATCCCTCGTTTATTCTCATCTCAAAACTGGGCACAGATAGTGTATCATCCTTCATATCAGGATATACATTTTTCTACCTTTTAAATAGTGAAGTATGTCATTCACATATGTGTCTCTCTGTGTGTGTATACAATTTAAAATGTAGAAAAATAGGCACATGGAAGAAGTGTGTGCAAATATTTACATTAATAAATGTCGCAGGCATGTCGAATAAATTAATGACAGTGAGTTATTGTGGATGGGTCTGGAACCAGATACGGGTCAGAAAGGGAAATGACGTGAACAATGGCAAAAAATAATGATAAGCAGGTGAGGCTGAGGGAAAACTGACAAAGAATAGGAAAGCTAGATAGGGAAAAAGTGGAGTGAATCGGTATGCAAATTAGAGAAAGAGAACTCTTTTACATGTGGGGTGTTCAGGGAAGACAGGACAGACAGAGAAGAGGAGGAGAAGGAAGGGGGGAAGCAAGTTTTTTAAAAGAAAAGAGCGAAGCCTCAGACTATTAAGATTCTCCTGGGGCAGTGCTTCTCAGATTTGAAAGCTCAGTCATCCAGGGATGTTGTTAAGATGCAGATTCTGATTCAGTTTGTCTGCCTTTCTACCGAGTTTTGAGTAGCAAGGCCTGTGGCACTTGAGGCTGTGGGGCACAGAGGGAATTGTTTAAATGTGGAAGGATTTTCTTTTCAATGAGGCTGCAGTTTCAAGTTCCCAGTCTCCCTCCTTCCGCCATCTCAGTAATCTGTCCTGAATCCTGAGGCTTCTCCTGCCTCGATCCTTTGGTTTTCTGAACCTAGGAACATAGTTGTGAAGTACTCATTTCCCTGTTCTCTTCAGAACACCAGTATTACACATGATAACCACTAAGTGCAATTTAATAGTAACCTTATCATTTCTCCCCCAAGAAAGTGGATGAGTTGGTATTATTAGCTTGAGCAATTATCTTGCACAAAGAGTGTAGAATCTACAATCTCTAACGGACAGCTCATGGTAAGGAAAGACCATTCCATCCTATGGATAATATCAAATTAAGATACTTAAATATTAAATATAAAGTATTCTTAAATGTGGGCGAGTTCAACTTTGGAGCTGATAATGTGACATTTAGCTCCTGTTCCATCTATATTTTTCTTGGCTTTTGTCAGTTTATGTTACAACATTCCTGTTTTTTAAAGGGTTTTTTTTTTGCCCCAACAACAAAAAAATTAATTTCTTTGTTTGGTTTTTTAAAAAAATCACTTACGAAAAAAGTCCAGTTATAACACGGGACTGATTTTCTCCAGAAATTAGAATAACTTGACCCATAAACATTCAGTCTCCTAAGAAAATATATTGTGAATTTAAGAAGCTTTCACAAGTTTCTGCTATTTTGTCAATTCAGAGCCAAGATCTAAAAATAAATGAAATAAAATAAAATTCAGTTGCTGCCCATTTCAAAGGAGTAGTACTTGAGGTATCTGCAGGCCCATGCCCACAGTCTTCCACAAAAAGGCTTCTAGACCAATTCAATCCTCCAGCCCAAGATTCTCAAAAGTCCATCATCACAGAGGCCAGTCGGAGGCCACTGGGAATGTATGCTGACTGCACAGGACAGGTTCACATCATAAACACAGGTTCACATCACAAAGATCTAGCCAAAAAATGCAATTTTCTTTCTGGGGACCAACTTAAAGCCCTCTTTATACTCAACTTTTCCTTCTTTCGAGGCATTTTCATACCTGTTATTGAATAAATATCTAGTCTGAGAGTTGATGAGAATTTATTCATCACCTTACTCTCAGTGCCTGGCACAGAGTAGGTGCTCATTAAAATTTGGTAAATGCACAATTGTTACAGATTACATTTATTTGCAGAGTCTCTGTCTTTGCATTTTAATATGCCTTCACCAGTGCCAAGGAGCATAAGAGCCAACCGCAATCCTCTTGGTTTCTGACCCTCAGTATGGCAAACTCCTAGCCTAGAGAATTTTCTAACACTTGTCTTTCTTTTTCTAGGAAAACTCCAAATGTCCCCAACTTTTTACCTGCTCCCATATGGAATGCTGTGGGTTTTATTTTCTAATTGAAGCCATTGAATACACTATGGCAGAAACCAACAAGAAAGCAGTAAATCCCAAATGAGTCAATTGTGGTTTTCAGTTTTAATTTGGGCACACTTCCTATTCCTATGAGAGCATGCCTATCCCCTAAGCCAAAGGGATCTAGAGTGGCAGGCTTTGTGTTTTGTGTTGTTTTTTTTTTTTAAGAAAAGTTAAATTTTTCTCAAAATAAGATTTATTTTAGGGATGGACAATTAAATGGTTTTTCATTTCTTAAAGAGCCTATTCTTTAAAGATCTTTGGTGCTTATTGTGAGGGTTTTGAGTTCTTAGCCTTAATTCAGAGAGAAGGAAAAACCAACTTCAAGAATGTCAATCAGCAGAGACCTCAGCTTCTTAGAGAACAGCAGTTCTCTGACGCACACTGGATACTCTACGTAAGTAGCAGTGAAGGGGATGAGAACTATAATTAGTACTGGAACCAGGGCTCTGTCACATTGTGGTCAATCACCCTAGCTCTCTCCACCCCCAAACTGGTCTTGATTACTCAGTGAAGAAAACTGGAATGATTTGCACTTGAAATCCCGATTATATTGCCACCAAATAATTTGTACTTTAAAAATGTCAGAGATGTGGAAGAAATACAGAAGATGTAAATTTCTTGAGGACAATTCTTTGTCATATACTCATTTTTCATGGTTCCCCATAATAAAAATCAATCCAAATGCTGATCCAAACTATGAATTATTATTATGTCTATTAGCTGCAGACACTTTATGGCAATTTTCATTTAAAATGACCTATTCACATCATTGAATTAAATAAAGCTGCATCTCATGGACCGAGGGCACAGCGTGACACCTGACAAACATCTCCCTTGATTCTCTGGTATCATTCTTCTCTTCAAACCCTGCCTCAACTTACCCTCAATGCAGTTCTGCTCCTCCAAGTCATGTGATCATGTTTTCAAGGTGAGCTTTCTTTGTAACTGTTCTGCCCCAGCAAGCCTCGCTCCATCTCCAACTTTCTTTTCTTTCTTGCCACTGTCCTCCCCTCCAATCCACTTGTCCCAGAGGACACAGATGCTCTCAGAGCAGGTCCTCTCTACCTCATGCTTTCTTTCCAGTTTCCCTTAATGATCAAGAGTAAACATCTACAAGCAAGAAGAGTTGTAGTAACCACCTCCATCCTGTGCAGGTGATGTGTTCCCATTTTCACAAAACTTCTAAGAACATAATCCTCTAATTCTGGGGACTCAGAAATAAAAATGGTATATGTGATCTGTTTCCAATGTTCTCGAGGTCTTTGAGAAAGTTGAGGCCAGTTCCTTTTGGTACTCTTCTCACGGTATTTCTCATTTTAACTAAGCAACCTGCTCATAATCAATGAAATGGAGTTCTGAGTAGGAATCACAGGGAAAGCCAAATGTCTATGCCTGAACTTCTGGTCAATTCCTCCTCGTGAATCAAGTGTTAATAAGACATTCAGCAGGCATAACATCAAATTATTGTCTCAGCATAAGAAATGGAACTGATTGCAAATGCTCTAAATGCAGGGAAGGTCTTAGAATAATAATCTGTTCTTTTTTCTCAGGACTAAATCTTTGGGAAGAGTAAAGGATATTTTTAATTTGATCCGTAATTTTAAAAAGATGACTTTTAGAAGTTAAGTAGATAATTTCAGACTATACCAGGTTGATTTTTTTTCAAACAAGTTGCACCAAGAAGATAAGAAGAGGTCTTGTTTGGCACGCTGGTAGATAAAGTCTCATCCCCTACATGTTGCAGATACCCTAAACAGACTTTCTATTCTGAAGACTATTTAGGCTAAATCATTCTGGGGCCCAACATTGCACAGGACAGGGAGGAGTCTGCCTAGTAGTTATATATCTCAGAAGCTCTATGTTCGGCCGGGTGCGGTGGCTCACGCCTGTAATCCTAGCTCTCTGGGAGGCCGAGGCGGGCAGATTGTTTGAGCTCAGGAGTTCGACACCACCCTGAGCAAGAGCGAGACCCCATCTCTACTAGAATTAGAAAGAAATTAATTGGACAACTAAAAATATATAGAAAAAATTAGCCGGGCATGGTGGTGCATGCCTGTAGTCCCAGCGACTCGAGAGGCTGAGGCAGGAGGATCGCTTGAGCCCAGGAGTTTGAGGTTGCTGTGAGCTAGGATGATGCCATGGCACTCTAGCCCGGGCAACACAGTGAGACTCTGTCTTAAAAAAAAAAAAAAGAAGCTCTATGTTTGTGGAAGATTGTTTGGCAAATTAAGTAACTGTATACAATTCTTGAGATCAAAAGGAAACGACTTAGAAAGTATTAAATATTAAATGTTCACTGAGCAGCACTATTGAGAGACACCCAAATTATAGGTTCCGTACTGTAGTAAGATATGTGTTGTCACTGGGTGTGCATTGTGCAGGATTCAGGATTTAATTTCAGAACCACCCTGTGATATATCCTGGTGCTGTATAATATTTACTGCTTCTTCCAACACCATCACTAATAGTAAGAGTTACCTTTTATTGTGGAGCCCTTACTATGCCAGGCATTATGCTAAATTCTGATCGAATTTTATCATTTATTTTTCACGGCAAAAAATGAGGTAGATAATAGTGTCCTCCTTTTACCAATCAGCAAATCCAGACAAAGAAAAGTTAGGAATCTGTCCAAGGTCACAGAGCTCATAAGTGGGAGAGTAAGGGTTTAAGCCCAGTTCTATCTAGCCACAAACAAATGACCTTAGTCACTGTCCTATTGACACACAGCACAGTACTTAACAAGAGATACATGGATTTGCTTTCTAATGCAATAAAATTTGAAGGATACTGTAAATGAAAGTATAAATGAAAATTTACATTTATTTTGTATCTTCACATTCACATGGCAAGAAAAAGACTTCTCTTGTCCCACGAATTCCTGTTGTACTTTGCATTTCTAAAAGCATATGTTAAAACTAAAGAAAATTCCTTGCAGATGTAAGACATGGGCTGGTAGCACTTGCCTGATCTGTGACTTTCAGTTAGATGCTGAAGTCACCCCCCTTAACCGCTGCCTTCTCCTTTCCTGTGCATAAAAGGTTTAGGTTTCCTGTCTGTCCTTCACTCTCTGTTCCAGAACATGCTCCAACAGCTTTGCTGTCAACAAGCATTTCTTGGGAGAGGAGTCTGTGGCATGAAATTTCTTCGCATTTTACACTTCTAATACTTGGTCATTAAGACTGAGGGCATCATCGCCTTCAGTTTAAAACACAGCGTAAGCAGCCCGGATTCAGAGCTGTGGGGACATAATAGGTTTCTCTTCTTCTCCATATAACCACTTTATATAAAGACCACATTAGCTAACCTGGATTTCCGACAAATCGTGGGTTACCAAAACATTTCACTCAAAATGAACTTTTAAGAAAATAGGAAACCTGTGAAATTACCAAGTTTACAAAAGACTGTAATTCCTACAGTGACCTGGGGGTTAAACACACACAGACACACACACACACACACACACACACACACAGCCATTGCAGTGCTAAAGAACCCTTAAATAAATAGTTAATATTAACAATTTGATAGTGCAATTTATCCAGCGATTGTAATCAAATCACCTACTGTTGTAGACTTGGCTGGCGGGTGGGGGGAGATGACAATCTATAGTTTTCTTAAGATCTTTCCCTTGTTGCTCTGAAAAGTACATCCCTTCAAGTCCCCCATGTACCCCCCTTCCAAAAAAAGAAAGAAAAGGGGGGGGGAAGAAGCCCTAGGGGTGAAAGAAGACTCCTCACCCTGGGATCGGGGTTATCTTAACCTCTTCTACATTGTTTGTTTAACTTGTGTGTACAGCCAGAAGAAAGCCACTACTCTGGGGTCCCTGGGACAGCTTAAAACCCTAGTGACCCACTTAACACAATAGATTGTTTTCATCAGTTCGTGTCCTGGCACCATCCCGAAGGGGAACATAAACAGACGCGTACAACGCTCAGATTTGCTCTTTCCAGCAGGAGATCCAATTACCTACCGAGGATCGCCTCTCTGCCCTCGGACCATTTAAGAGGAGATTTTAACCCCTCACTTTGAGGCCATATTTCTATCTAAAAGAGCCGGGATTCGGAGTCGGTTGAGCAGGGGAAGGCAGCAGACTGGTCGACCTGGGAGCGCACTGGGGACATCTCTGAGCGCGAAGGAAGGGATTCACAGCAGAGTCTGATCACCTCTCATCCGTCTCCCCCGCCTCGCCTGGGGACCGTTGCCAGCGCCCGGCACAGGGAAAGGCCAATGTGCGGCGCCCCCAAGGCGGAGCTGGGAGCTGAAGGCATTGTCAAGCCTGAAGTCTACAAATAACTCTGGCCCGCGAGGAGGTGACAGCCCGACGCACCCCCCGGACTCACGGTCCCCCGCCCCCAGCCTTGCTCCGCGAGATGTAAAGGGGTTAGGGGAGTGAGCCAGGCGGCGAAGGAGGACTAGAGACCACCAGCGTGTTCGAGCCGCCAACCAGCCTCCGCCGCCAGTCCGTGGTGGTCAGGAGCTAGCGAGGCGCAGCGAGGCGAGGCCGGGGCCTCTAGGACACAGATTAAGGGGAACCACGAAAGTAGGAACCAGCCGGTGGTCGCTTCCCGGTGCCTGAACGTCTGCCGTGCAGCCGGGGCGCGCGTGGGGCCGGGAGAGGCTCAGAATAGAGAACCGAGAGCCCGCGTGTTTGCAGCCAGTACGTGAGGGTGCTGGGGTGTGCCGTGTGAGCACTGCGGCTTCGCTGCACCCCGCGCCCAGGGCGCTGCACCGCACTCCAGCTGTCGGGTTACCCAGCTGGAGTTTCGGGAAAGTCGGGTTTCCCCTGTGGCTGAACCCGGCGGCTCCGCTCTTGCCAGTCTCCATCTCACCTCGGGGATGGGCAAATGCACACATCGCCAATTCTCCGGATCCTTGAGCCCGCGGCAGGGTGACACACGGGACACCGAAGGGCACCGCAAGACGTCCCCAGCCCTAGCACAGAGCCTCAACCACACGGGACCCTCTCACTGCCACTTGCCGCGCCGTCGCCAGGCAGACCGCAGGTCCGCGCTGCCCCCACTCACTGCCCGCTGCTCTAGCGCTCCCGCCGCCCGACTCCGCTCCTCGCTGCCGAGCGCGCCTGGCAGGCGCTGCTGCCACCAGCAGCGGGAGCGTGCACGCGGGGCTCCGGAGGCGTACATGGGATGCGGGGTCATCCCTCCCTCTCTTCACAACCTCCTTTCCTACGTTTCCCTGCAGACCCAGAGCAGCGAGGTCAAGGCATCCACGACCTCGGCAGGAAGGACCCGCAATGGTTCTTCAGGGCTCACACCAGCGAACTGCGGGGCCCCAGCCCGCATGCACGGAGGGCTGCCGCGCGTCTGATCCCAGCCGGACTTGGGGTTCGTTTGGGGGCTCCCACGCATACACACGACACACACACACACACACACACACACACACACACACACACACACACACACACACACACACACACACACACACCCTGCCGCGTCCGCGCTCACCTGTCAGTGCGGCGGGTCTCGGGGCCTGCGCTTTCGACGCGTGGCGCTGCGTGCGGCCGCGGCCCGAGCCGCCCGGGCTCGGCGCGGGGTCAGCTGGAACGAGAGTGACGCTGCCGCCGTGCGCTGGGTCTCCCGGTCCGCGGAGGGCGCACCGAGTGCCAGGCATCGCGCAGTCTCCCGTTTAAATGCCGGCGGCCCGGCGCGGCGCCCGGGGCCGCGCCTCTCCATTGGCCAGGCGCCGCCGCCGCCGCCGGACCCGCTATCCGCCCCCTTTCCCGGTACTGCCCCCGCCCCCCGCACCCCGCCTGCTTCCCCGCGGGGTCCCCTCTCCGCCCGCCTCGCCTCTTTGTCTGCTCCCCCCGCCCGGGCCGGCTGGGAGAGGTCACCCCAGGGAACCGCGCCTGGAATGCACAGCAAATCACATTTTCCGCTCCCGTTGGAGAGGGAAGCGCGGGAGGAAATCCCCCCGGCTCCCGGCCCCCGTTCCTCCTCGGCACCGGGTCTGGGCTTCCCTCTGGCTCGCTCTGCTTCGCCTACGTCGGCCCGGCGCTCAGTAGCGGGGACTGCACCGGGACGAGCAAGGACCCCGTGGGATCGCGACAGACGAGGCGATTCTTTCCCCCGGGAGGGAACGGGCCTGCGGGACGCTCTGGTCCGGCGACCGTCGCGGCTCCGGCGCGGCTCCGCCCGAGGCCCCCGACTTCGAGGGCGCTGACCCCGGCGCCCCCGTTCACCCGGGCGGGCTCGCCGGCCGCCAGCACCACACCCTCCTCTCCTCGCCCCGCGCGGGTGCTTCGGCTCAGACACCGCGGCCTCGGCTGTGAGTGCGCAGAGGGAGTAACGGGGGAGAATGCAACTGAGAGCGTCAGAAGTCAAGGTTTCCCTTCCTACGTGATCTTGCAAAGGGAAAGAACAATCGCTAGGCGAAAGGGGTGTTCTGTAGCAGATTAAAGATGAATAAATCAGGAAAATAAAACGTCAGATGAGGACGTCTCTTCCCGGAAACTTAAGACAAAAACGAACGTGTAAAACCGATGTCACATTGCGTATTCATTACTAAGAACCCGATGGATATTGGAGAGCAGACCAAGTGCATAAATATTTTTCGAAAGATGAACGAACACGTTCATTTGTTCTCTTAGCTTGTAAATGGGTTCCTCAAAGAGGCCGTAAGTTTTGTGTGTCGAAGTTAAAGCTCTGCAAAAATCAACCCGTCTGCAGACCGGCTCCATCAGCCGTCAAACCAAGACTTTGAAAAAGGTTTGTTACAGAAGGAAATTTGAAGGTATCTGTATTGCCTAAAGCAAGATAAACAACACAGTGAAACCCATCAAAATATACTTATGAAACATCGGTAATTTAAGGACTTGGCTAGAAAAACAAAACAAAACCAGAAAACAGCATAATTTTTTCTTTTTCGTCAGGGGTTAGGGGGAGGGAACAAGACATAATGTACATTTACTAGATACTGTTAGGAACTTGAAATAGATTTTTAAAAACAAATGAAGCAAGAAGGAAGTCTGCATTAAGTTAATATGTAGACAATCTTAGTCTTCTGAATGTCTTGTTTGTGCAAACAGCAGTTTCTACACATGAATTCAGTGCTGCACTTAACATGCTTCTCAGTAATTTTTTTGTTAAATCATCCCATGAGCCACAGTTTATAGTTGCCGGCACGGTGGGAGCATTCAACCAGTTTAAAGACCTATCCTGATCAAGTGGGCTATTGGCGAGACAAATCGTCAGAAATACACAAAGTACTTTGGCAATGAACAATTCAGCCAAAGCCCACCATCCAGCCGTTCTCTCAGTGTGTCAGCTACTGGGCTTTCCCAGAGAAAAGGGAGCGTATTTTACAAATTCATTAACTGCTAATTTCATCTAAAATCAATCCTTTATTTAGTCACTTCCCCCCCCAAGACTTATATATACTGCCCCAAATCAAAATACAAAGAGGCAGAAACTTACCTCCTGAAATGGAAGTGATTGTTTTTGGAGCCCTGACACTATGGTTTTTATCTATCTTCATCTCTAACTAATCACTATGCCTCCTCCTCAGGAAGCTTCTCAGACCATATTCTCTACAATAAAACACACACCCCCACACCCACACCTCTCTATCCCATTTCACTGCATCATTTTTCCTCATTGTCACTTATCTCTCCCTTCTCTCTGGCATTATAGTATTTCCTGCCACTAAAATGTAAGGTTCATAAGGGCAGGGACTTTGCCTATCTTGGTCACTCTGATTACATGAGTGTCTAACACAGAATTGGAATTCAATAAATAGTCGTGGATCAAGAATGTTCAGCACATTACCACTAACTAGGATTATCAACTGAGCCAAATGCTGAGGATATAACCGTGGTGAATTTGATAAACATGAGCCCACAGTTCACAGAGTTTATAGTCTATTGTGTTTGTAAATATTTATATAGACATACAAGTTTTTTGCCTTATATTTGTGTTTCCACAGCTCTCAGTCAGTCATTGAAACCACTATCCAATCAGGGTGAAGGCATAAAAGTTTTTACTCCATAGAACTCTTTAAGCATAATTACATAATTAAAACCTGTTCGTAGTATGAGGGGAGAGACTGAATAGAATGACTTGATGTAGTCAAAGTTAAACTTTAAAATCTGAGATATCTAAAGAATGATCACTAAATGACAAACCTCACTTAATGAAACTATTTTCAAACTACTTTGAGGTTGTGAGAATAGATCCTGTTCAGCTACTGGTTTGTAAAAGTAAAGTCCATTTCCTCTTGTTTTGCTCACCTGTCTATAGAGTGTGTTAGTCTCTCTCTAATCACAAGATGCCAAGAAGGGGCTACTCTCCAGGTTTGGAGAAGAACTTTGAAGGCCTTTATAGGAAAGTTTTTATTTGGATCTTCAGAAGCTATTTACAACTGTTCATCCAATTGCAGAAACTGTATGCCATCTGGCATTGGATTAAAAAAAGAATAAAGTGCTTTATACATTTGAAACTGACCTTGTATGCCCTTTTAAGGAAAAGAAAAGTGATAAACTATAAACTTGACTGTGGTTAAATAAAAACATATTTGCAACAGTCAAAGAGCAGTTAAATGATTCATATTCAGAATGGACTCCTCTTATAAATTAATAAGAAAAAACGCACAACAACCCAATAGGAAAAAAAAAATGACAAAGCACATGGCCAGGCAATTCATGGAAAAAGAAATCTGAACAGCCAATAAATATGAAAAGATGCTAGATTACATCAGTAAATTGGGGAAATGTAAACTGAAATAAGAAGACACTCTTGCTTATCCATTAGGTTAGCAAAGATTTAAAAGTCTGACAATATCCAGTGTTGAAAAAGGTATGAAGAAAAAGGTAATCAAATGTATTGCTAGTGAGAGTGTAAATTGGTATAACCACTTCAGAGAGTCATTTGTCAATATGCATAAAAATTAAAATTAAACATGCACCTAGTATACCTTCCAGCCATTCCACTTCTAGGTAAACACCTTAGAAAAACTTGAGTGCATGTATGGGGACTAGAGACTTGTGTGAGCACGTCTATTATGGTATCATTTGTAACAACCTTAAAGTCCATCAACAGGTATAGGAGAAGGCATAAGAAATTATTTTATTCATGTGACAAAATGCCATATAGTTACTAAAAGAAATGGACTAGATTTTCTATTTTAACATGGAGCTCAAAAAATAATGATGCTTTAAAAAAAAAAAGGAAGCTGCAGAATGATACAAGCAGTATGACATCATTATGAATATTTTATAGTAAAAAATAAAACAATACCAGAAAATGTTTTATGAAAATATATGTGTCTTGTGTAAGTAGTGGATTGGAATCCAGACTGTTGATGGTGCTTTCCAGAATGGGGAGGGATAGATTGGGCATGGAAGACAAAAGAGATTTCAACTTTATAATGCTTTTTAAAATTTTATTTTTAAAAAAATATCTTGAAACAAATATGACAAAATGTAAACAATTTTTTAATTTTTGAGTCATGGGTATATGGATGCTTGTTTGTTTAGTCTTTCTATGTTTTGGTATTTTTAAAAATTCTTAAAATTAAAACAATCTGATGTTTCTATCCTGATTTCAAGAGTGATTTTGATTGTCATGTGGAAACTGAAGTTTTTTGCTTCTTGTTTTTCTTCATAACCAACTCCAATCAAAGTAGGCATGTTTTCAGAACACAGGTAAGCCCTCATTGATGTTTATGTCTGCTAACCTGTCTGAGGGCCGATTCCCAGCTATCCACCTTGTATTCTACACATAAGCAGTAAAACATTTATCAGTTTCCTGTGTATGAAAAATGCATGTGCATGTGAAAATTCTGAACAATGTTGCCAAATACAAGTATATGAAAAAATGCATTATTCAGATCGTTTTAATAAATTTATACCCTGTTCCAGCCAAGCATTTATTGTGTACCCTCCATGTGCAGCACACACGCAAAAGGTGAAACCATCACAGTATGGACATGGTCCTTCACAGTCAATATGCAGACACAGTGAGAAAAAAGCATTGAACTTGGAGTCAGAAAAACTCAGAATAAATTCCTGACTCCTCCTCATAGAAACTGAATTAGATTATCTGAGTTAGATATTTAAACCCTCTGGGCCTAAATTCAATCATTTGTGTTGTAGGAATGGTAACAATACCTACTTCTGGGTGGATGATGGAATCGAATAAAACAAGCCCTGTGAAAGTGCCAGGCATCTAATAAACACCAGTGTCTGCATGGATACTAGAGTTCAGTCGGGAGCTAAAACAAAAACGACGGCAGTCTAGTATCAGCATGTGTCAGGTCTTGCGTATCTTTGCATTCACAGTACATAATGCAGTGAATGGCACATAGTAGGTGCTTGACAAAGCTACTAAATGAATACTTGCATAAGGAGGAGGAAGAAAGGAGGAAAGGAAAGAAAAAGACAGAAGAAAGGCAGGAGAGAGGAATGGACAAAGGGAGAAACGAAGAAAATGAGTGATACTATTGCGGTAAATGGCCCAACAGCTTCTATTTTTTGGTAAAATTGTTTTACCAAACACTTCTGGCTCTTTTTTGCCTGTACCATGAGACTCCCTTTAACCCAAAGTTCCAGTTCTCAGGATCTTTCCACTGCAGCGAGAGAAGCTGGGAGAGACTAGAAGATGCCCGAATGTGTCTTAAGAGAGGCTGAAACTCCTATG